TGTAAGTTCACAAGTGTGTGCAGTACAGGGGTGTAAGTTCACAAGTGTGCGCAGTGAAGGGTGTACGTGTAGGTGTGGGAGTGTTCCCGGAGCAGCCGTTGGTGTGTGCCCTGCTTGGCCAGCGTGAGTAAACAGGCTCTTCCAGTCTCTCTTCCCTCTTCGGTCGAAAGCAGAAGTGAGTGGCGAGGCGCCAAGGGGAACAGGGAGAGAGAGACTTGGCCTGCCTGGCACACGGCGCCACGGAGCTGGAAGAGTCTGCAGCACAAAGCAGAGTCCTGGCAGAGGCGGGCAGTGGGTCCCCAGTGGGTTTAGGCGAAGCTGGTGAGGCGTGCAGGACGGCACATCAGGAGATCCTCCGTCACGGGTTCGCCTTTCCAAGCTCAGCCTCCCCCTCGGGCCGTGATCAGAGCTGGCCTGGGTGGGGGCAGGCGGGCGTCATTTGTGTCGCTGACTCCTTTCCCAGGAGTAAATGCTTTCCATGCTGAAGGTGCCGCGGTCCCAATGTGTCCGTTAGAAATTGTCAGCTGCTGAGGTGGAGTTCAACCGGTTCACCTCAATTAAAACGGAAATGGTTCAGGCTGAAAGACTGGGGTTTAGTGCTGTATCTTATACATAGCTGAAAGAGGACAGTCAAATCCAGGTATGTTATCTATATGTAAAACTTAGATCTTACAGCATAGGAAACATGTACTACAGACAGACAGCAGAACAACAGAGAGTAAGAAACCCAGACAGACAGAAGAACCACAGACAGACAGCAGAACCACAGACACCCACAACCTCAGGCATATAGACTGACCCCCAGGCCATTCAGTTCCCCAGGTCTGGTCACTGTCCCATACACCGATTGACTCTCACAGTACTGAGCACAGCCCATTACACTGAGTGACTCTCTCACAGAACTGACCACTGCCCATTACACTGAGCCACCGTCTCACTGTACTGACCACTGGCTGTTACACTGAGCGACCGTCTCACAGTACTGACCACTGGCCGTTACACTGAGTGACCGTCTCACTGTACTGACCACTGGCCGTTACACTGAGTGACTCTCTCACGGTACTGACCACTGCCCATTACACTGAGTGACTCTCTCACAGTACTGACCACTGCCCATTACACTGAGTGACTCTCTCACAGTACTGACCACTGGCCGTTACACTGAGCCACCGTCTCACTGTACTGACCACTATCTGTTACACTGAGTGACTGTCCCACAGTACTGACCACTGCCCGTTACACTGAGTGACTCTCTCACAGTACTGACCACTGCCCATTAGACTGAGTGACCGTCTCACTGTACTGACCACTGGCCGTTACTCTGAGTGACTGTCTCACAGTACCGACCACTATCTGTTACACTGAGCCACCGTCTCACTGTACTGACCACTGCCCATTACACTGAGCCACCGTCTCACTGTACTGACCACTG